GCTAAGATTTTGCTTTTTTTTTTTTTTTTGGTTATTAATCATCAGACACATATTTTTTGTCAGGAGATGTGCAGCAGTTTGATGGCATTCCTGCCTCAACCAGCATGTTTTGAACTGACCTGTCTTCATTGCTATGGCTCCCTAGAAACTTTGCTGCTGATGAGTGTTGATTCAGCTGAATGCTTTGACATTCAGCTTGTCAGTGAAAGCTATTTTAATTGTTAAGATGCATCCCCCTTCCAAGACTGCAAACTGTTGCTATTCATACACAACATTCTATCATTTGATTACTGCAGAGAAGCAGAGAACCTGAATAGTTACTAGTACTAGAGATCATTTTAAGGGTCCAAATCTACAGAATATTTATTATGTGAGGAGTTGTGCTTAGCAATTTATAGAAATCATCTTATTTAATCCTCACAGTTGTGGAGTCTGACTACGTAAGTGTGAACCTCTGTTCTCTACTTACTACCTACATGATGAGCAGCCCTCTCTGTGACATGATTTCCTCCTCTGTAAACTGGAGTAACAGTACCTACTTCACAGCAACATCAGAAGAACTAAATGAGACACTTCAAAGACAGTCCATAGAATAGTAAATATGGCATAGTGAGTTCTATAGTGTTAGCAATAATTTTTATTACTGCTTTTTACATGAAAATACACTATTTTCCTTCATCAGCTGTCCTACTCACCATCACTTCTTTAACTGTCTCTGTTGCTCAGACCCAAAAATGTGGAAATAACAGAAAATGAAACTTAATCTTTTCAGGACATTTTTCTATACATATCTGAACTCTAGCTCCATAAGAGTAGCACCACAATTGTGGCAAGTAAGAAACTTTTTTTTTCCTTTTCTTTTTTTTCTTTCCCATTAGGAAGCTAGGCCTATGTTCTGGTGACTTCCTGGTGAATGGGTTAAAAGTGAAGCTTCAGACAGTTTTGAGGATTTAGGAGTAGAGAGGTCAATTCTGTAGGCTTCATTGAGAGGCATCATGACAGCAACAAGGTGGTAGAATTTCATAGTTTGCTATGCCCCGGCTTGTGCAAAAGCAGAAGAAATACATGTTATGTGTGTATGCAAAATAACTTAATATACTATGTCAGTGGAGGGGGAAGCAACAAGGATCCCATGCTACTAGCTCAAATTCCCACATTCCAGAGCACAATGGGAAGCTTCCCATTGTGGCAAACACTTCACTGTGCTCTTACCAGACTCCTTTCTTTCCCTCCTGAGCACAAAGCTAAACTACGTTTCCCAGTCTCCTATGCAATTAGCTGGGGAAATGGGACTCACTTTTAAAACCTATATGAACTTCTATGTGTACTTTCTTCCCTTATCTGCTACCTGAGTGTCTATGACACAGTAGAAGACACGATTCTATAAAATGGCAGACACCAATTCAAGAACTGAAACTTAGCATTTCTTTCAACCATGAATATAAGCACTAGTGAACAGGAGTATTAGTAATACTCTTTCACCAATGAAAATCATGTTCAAATTATATCACTGTTATTAGAGATCTCAATATTTACACTCAAATTTTCTTTGAAATAACTATAATCAATAGACACACTGGTAGATTTTTAAACTTCATATTCTAATAAGTACATATATTATGATAAAAGGCATTTTAAAAATAGGGATAACTGTATTTCAAAACGTTATTTTCTTTTATAATCCCATATGATTTTTATTGCTTTATAAAACATTTTTCTGAGGTGGGATTCTCAGGCTTCACTAGATTGCCCAAAGGGGCTACAGAAGAAAATTAACAAAAATCCCCTCTAAATGGATCCTCAAATGCCTTTCTGGAGTACAGTTCCTTTTTTCCTCTGCTCTATATAACCCCACCACATTGAAGTGAACAATAAGATTTTAATGTGTTTAGTTACTGATATTTGGAGGTTATTTTTTAAATTTTATTTATTTATTTATTCTAATTTGTTATATATGACAGCATAATGCATTTCAATTCAAATTACATATATAGAGCACAGTTTTTCATGTCTCTGGTTGTACACAAAGTAGAGCCACACCAATCGTTTCTTCATACATGTACTTAGGGTAATGACATCCATCTCATTCCACTGTCTTTCCTATCCCCATACTCCCTCCCTTGGAGGTTACTTTTTACAGCAGTTGTTAGCAGTTATTATACAAAATAATAAACCTTTGTTACAAAACAGCCCAAACATGGTATAGAGTACCCAAGATCTAAAGAAGACTATGGGTGGAAAAGACCCAGAAGTGAAGAGTGAGGACAAGATTAGATGGGATGATTAAAAATATCTCAACAGATTCTACCTGGGAAGAAAGTGAAGATTAATGTGGGAAAAACATTAACTTACAACACAACAATTATAGTAATATAAAAAAGCAGCATAATGTTTTTGAATTTTGAATTTGTACACTGAGTTTATATCTGCCACAAAATAATTAATTTTCTTATTTAACATTTTTTTCCCTTACTAGAATGGCAGCTATTTTTGTTTCTCATAGCAGATGCTAAGTACTTTTTAATTCTTCCAACTTTATATATCTATATATAAATATATATGTTTATATATTTATATACAGATATATAAAGTTGGAAGAATTAAAAAGCACTTAGATACACACACACACACACACAGACACACACAGTTTTAAAGCAATCTCTTATTACTGTTCTTATTAGCTAGAGTTTAATATAAAGAGAAACAAAGAGCCATAAAAATTAGATCAATATTGAATAAGTCCTTCTATACAGAAATTTGAAAGTTGATGATTTTTTAATAGTCTGTTGATTTAAATAAAATAGCCTTGATAGAGCTCTCCAGGGTTTTTTTAAAGACAGTTATAAATTTGCCAATACTTCTTTCAAGGTATTAAGTTTTATATAATTTTATCTTCCCTCTTAGACTATTTTGCTGCCTTTATTTTAACCCTAGATCAAACAAATCATACTGTGAAACCTTCAGGTTATTAAAAGGCAGATGCAAAGACTCCTTTGAGGATAGTCTCTTTCTAGCCCCCAAGAAATTAATGTATCCAAACAATTTTAACCTATAGAACTATAAATGAATGAAAATAAAATGTGGTTAGTGCGCTGGATATCCAGGATCTCAGCATAAAAATATAGTCTAACTTATTCTTAAATGCTATATACTATAAACATCAGTCTGTCCTGATCACTGCTGTATACCCAGCTCCAAATCTAATGCCTGGCAAGTAAGAATTTTTATGAATGACTAAACTGGTCAAATAGCACTCGTTTAAATTATATGCAGTGTACCCACACTGGACTTTGCCAGAAGTCCATTTACACATGTAAGGGTAAGGTCACTAGGGTAAGAAGTTAAAAGTTCAAAATTGCCAAAAGCTCACCAACCCTTGAAATTGTTAAAGGGATAAAAATTCTTTGATGGAAGAAATATTCTGGTATTATATCATTTCAAATGATATTATTTGCAAAAAAGCAGTCTTTTCAAACTACTTTTCAGTGGCTTTTTAGTATGTTTTATAAAGTACAATAGCTATTTTTCTCTTTGTTTTTTCATGTTAATTTTTTTCACATTAAAAAATATATAATAAGGAACCCCCTGAGTACCCATTTCTCACCTTAACAATTACCATATATTGCAATCCTTATTTTTTATCTTTAGTGCTGGGTATTGAACCAGGGTGTTGTGCCATTGAGCCATGCCCCCAGGCAGCCATTCTATTTCATTTCACCTCCTCCTCCTCATTTTTTTTTCTTTTTTTACAGTAGAATTTTAGAACAAATTGTAGACAACATTATTTCAACTGTAATTATTTTAGTATGCATCTCTTAAAAAATACTTTTTTTTTTGGTACTGCGGATGGAACCCAGAGGCACTTTACTACTGAGCTACATTCCCAGCCCTTTTTATTTTTAGACAGGGTCTCACTAAGTTTCTGGGGCTGGCCTCTGACTTGCCATCCTCCTGCCTCAGCCTCCTGAGTCACTAGGATTACAGGGTGCATCACTGTGCCAGACCTAAAAGATAAAGACTTTTTATAATCTAACAATATAATAACATTTAGCAAACTTAACAAAATTATTTAAAAAAATCTTTAAATTCTTAATAGAATACAGTTCATGTTCAAATTTTGCCTGGTTATCTTAAAAGTTTTGGACTTGGCATATTTGAATTAGGATCCAATATTCCTAACATTTGAGTTTGGTTGATATTTTTAAAGTTTGCTTTAATAGAAACTCCTTTCCTCCTTTAAAAAAAATGCTATTTACTTGTTAAAAAAAAAAAACGGTCATTTGTTCTATAGAAATTTTCTCATTCTAGATTAGGTTAACAGCATTCTCCTATATAGTTCCAACTATTTTCTGTAACAGTGGTAGTTGCATTTTACATACACATACAATTTTCTTTTGGCAAGAATATTTCATAATTGATGCTATGTAATTTCTGTTGAATTGGGAGGTACATAATATTTATGTCTACTTTTAGTGATGTTAAGATTGATGACTGACTTCAAGTGTTTGTTGTGAGTCCGATCCATCGTGACAAAATACTCCAAGTTTCACCTAATGTATTAGCTATTGATAATCATTGGCTAGATCCATTATTTCATCAAGCAAAATGATGATTTTATAATTTTATATGATTTTATAATTCATCCCCACTTATTTACTGGAATTCTAAAAAAAAGAAATTTCTTTCACCAACTACATGGTTACCCTGAATTAGAACCCATACCAAAAAAGGAGGATAAATGTATGTTTCTTTTACTTAATTTGATCTACACGCTGTATGTTAGTGTCACATTTACTTCCAAGAGTGAGCAACCTACACTACACTACTCCTTCCAACCTACACTACAACTCTTCCCTAAAGTAACAGGTAGTTTTTAAGGTGAAACCTAGTATGACTGGAATGGTCTAAGATAGGATGTGATTGGGCAGGCCAAGGTATGACGCAAGGATTATAGGATAGGAAGCGATGGATCAGGGAAGAGAGAATACCTCAAGCAGGCTCTAGGAGGCGGAATCCAAATCTTCTGAGCTGTCCTGGACATCAGTGCTCCCCGTGGATTCGCTAGGTTCCTTGCTGTCACTCCCACTATCAGGGACAGCCGGGTTCTCCTGCTGACAGGTCTTTTTAGAACCAGGAAGTGTGCTGCTCTGGCTCTCCTGGTTCTCCCTGGAGCCCAGCACCACATACCCGCCCTTCTCCTTCAGCTCCGGCTGCCTTCTTAGCTCATCTGCCATTTGTGAGAGATCCCGCTTCATAGCATAAGCATCTTCCCCGTCTGCATAGTATTTGGGTTCCACCTCACTGACCTGAAAGTTGAGAGTGTTAGAATAGAGGTGCAAGGCCGCCCGGTTACTCTTCCTGACGTGCAGGGACACATACTTGGCACTAAAGTTCTCTATCATGGCCCGAGAGGCCTGGTCCATCAGCTTCTGAGCCAGGCCGAGGCGCCGGTGTGAGCGCTTCACAGCCAGTGAGGTGATGTGCCCATGGGGGACATCATCAGGGTCCTCTTCCATCTTGGCCAGGACATAGCCCACAATCTTCCCGTCCTCGTCCTCAGCGATGTAGGAGAGCTGAGGCCAGGAAAGGCCATGGTAGAAATAGTATTTCATCTGGTAGTTCTCGGGAAGGCAGAGGAGGTTGCAGTGTTGCATGTTCATCAGGTCGTCTGGCCGAGCATTGCGGATGTTCATAATGGCAGCGGGCAGGGAGCCGGTTGGACTGAGGTGAACAGAAAAAGGCTATCGCCAGCACAAGGGGCCCGGTTCGCCTCGGCTAATTGAGTCCCGGCAGCCAAAACCTAGCGCATAGGGCGTGGAGGCGGGAAGGCGGGAAGGCCAGAGGCGGAAAGGGCGGTGCCAAGTGACTCCGGAAGTGCCCGCCCCAGCCAATGAAGTTCCACCTCTTTGTTCCCTCGCTCCTGGCGAGGGGGTACGGAGCGGGTGTTCTTGAGAATCCTTAGGGTTTAAATGAAGTGACCTATTGATGTTATTATCTTTGATTCAGTTTTAACTTTTGAGTGCATCTAGATATGTTTTCGCCATCTGAACAAACCCATATAACCAGAATTCAGATCATTGCCTGCACCCCTTCAGGAGTCCCATATATGCTCCCTTCCAATATCTGCCACACCCCACATCCCCAAACTAGCACTAGACTTCTAAGAGACTTTGTATAAATGCATTTTTTTTTTCTGTGCAGGGTCTCTTTTTAATTTTGTTTATTTCCCCACTCGTGAGTTTCAGATACTTTTGTTGTGTACACTTGAGGGTTCTTTATATTCGTTCCTGTTGTATATTCCATTGCCGGAATATCACAATTCATTCATCCATTTTACTGTTGATGGTTATTTGTGTTATTGAATATTGACACATATTTACATACAATTAGGATCAGCAGATGTAGTGATGTGCAAGTTTTATAAATATTGCCAAGCAATTTTCCAAACTGGTTGGTACACATTCTTATCAACATTAGGTATTTCCCATCTTTTTCATTTTATCAATTTTTGTGTGTGGTTTCATTTTGCATTTCCCTGGTGACTGGCGAGGTTGAGCACCTTTTGAGACTTATTAATTTTTTTATATTCTCTTTTGGAATGTTACTGCTCAAGTCTTTTGATAATTTTTTTCTATTGTGTGTCTTTTTCACATTAATACTTAGGAGTTTTTTTTCAAAAATACATTCTCGATATGAATCTTTTACCAGATATATTTCTAACAAATATCATACTTTTTCTTCTTTTGCTTTCTCTTTCATTTTTCCAATGCCGTGTTGAAAACAGCATCAAAGTTCTTAAATCCAGTAATTTTACCACATATTCCAAAATGGCTTTTTTCCCCCTGATAGTGCCACAAACAGGCCATGTCTAAATAAATATTAGAAAATAATTTTTTTTAAAAAATCATTTTAAGTTAATACTTTACTCTGACAGTGGGTAATAGTTATAAGACCGAAAAGTGCCTTTGCATTTAATATGAGCCAATGGCAAACAGAGATTAATAAAAATGTATATTTTATTAGGCTAACATTAGAATGCAATCATATGTTTAGGACTTCTGTGATTGTATGTGGACTAGCTATAGGTAGAGAGGCGCTCTAGACCAAAGCGGACTAATCCTCAATTAGAATAGCAACTGCAGGCAAAGGGACAAGTCAAAGGAAAACTGACTTAGTTTAGGCACTGGGTTATCTTTGTCTTTATGAATTTGTGTTCACACCTAATACAATTCCTTTTTTCTCATAGCAAAAGGTAATGTGAGCCAGATGATTATCAAAGAAAATTTCATTCTGATCAAGTCCTCAACAAGTTTTCTTTAAAGAAGGAAAAAGCCTCTTTGGCTTCTTATGACAAATGTCCTGACTCTAGGATGCTAATTTATATCAGATATAATGGAAGCTTTGGATTAGAAGCACATCCCAAATGTTGTGCAGCAATAGCTGGCTACACCCAAGAAGGTGGACACTTGTTAAATATGAGTGGGACTTTTAGGCAGTTTTTATCCTAGAAGAGAAACTCAATCCTGGCAATAATGGTATGTCATGTTCTAAAGTGAGAAATGAGAAAAGTATTCGCATATGTTTTTTAGAGTCTTTGTAATAAGAAGGTCTATTTAAGAATTTAGATTTCCTGGAAGGGAATAGCGAATGAAATGAAATATAAACATCTAAAGACAGTTTCTAGTAGACAAAAATTATCTACAACCCTTTTCCAAGTTTGGGAGAACAAAAAAAAAAAAGCCTCAATAAATTTGGATCAATGTGAACTGAAGTTCTGTATGGTTTTTGGGTTGTATTATAAAATAAAATAAAATGAATTAAAGAACCTTTTCTGGATCATATTTAGTAGTATGTGAGATTCAGGTTAACAAAAGGAAGGATCTGATGACAGGAAGTGGTGGTAATACTGTACTATGCACTACTTGAAAATATTCAAAATTCTGTCTCTGCTAGGTCTGCTTTGCCTAATGAATGCAAATGTGAAGGATTTTGTTAGGCCTTTTCTTGAAGTTTTCCAATGATTCAACATTTTGATTAATTCTGAAATATAATCAGACTTAATTTCTAGATGTGATAGGCAAGCAGCCATTGTAATGATTATTGTTGCATGTGGGAGAATTGCCTGGACAAGGTTCAAGTAGCCATAGTATTTGCTTTGGCTCTTTCTCATCTTTTCAGATTTGAGACACATGTCACCCTTTATATGAAGCTGTCTCTTACTATGTTTTCCTGAGAAAATCGAATTGCTTCCTTATTCGTGTATCAGTTTCACTCATATCTGTATGTGTATTTCATGCTTTCTTAAATATTTTCTCCTCTGTTTCTTGAGAACATGACCTTGCCTTATGAAAACTGTTGTTTTTAGGGACTAGCAAATTGCATGCTGTATAGTGTGTCTTGAATGGGTGCTTATAGAATAAATATGTAATTGGAGGTACAAGTATATTAAGACAAGCTAAACAAGTCCTTTCTTTATGAAATATAAATAAATTGTATGATTACAGTGCATATTTTTGTGTGGTGGTATCTATTATCATTGCTTAAAGTGCATAATGAAAAAATATGATGGTATTTATGATGTTACACTTTTTATACTTAGCATTATATTCACTAACCAACTACATTATCTACCAAATGCTACACTGTCTAGGCTACTCAGAGATTTGCAGATCATTTTCATTATCTAAAAGAAATGTAAACTGAACATAATTTAGTAATCAGTTTAGAGCTCTAAATTTATTTTTTGGCTTGGGAAGTAAGTTGGTCATGGTCTATTGTACTAATGTTCATTTGTGACGATTTACCTGCAAACTCTATTTCTCACATTTCCTTGTCATGTGGCTTCCAGAGATATTTGACCTAGGGGAGGTAGGGATGGGACTGGGGATAATAGTAGAGAGGAAGGTTAGGAGAAAGCCAAATAATTCTCCCTCATTGGCTCATTCTCAGCAGTGTCTTACAGTAGTGGATGATTTTCTCTGAGGATTTAGCTCCCTACTAGACAGACAATATTGAGTTCTGATTCCCACAAGCAGCTCCTAGTATATGGAAGTAAAACTTCTCTCCTATGTACATTGAGCCCTAGAATTGTTAGTGGCTTCCTACAATTGCTAAACTTTTGGTTGCTTCCCCATACCCTATTGGCTTCTCGGCTCTTGCAGAACTCATTACCTACATATTAAATTTCCTCAATTTTAATTACATAGAGTGGTTTCATGGCTGGCCTCACTGATGTAAGAATTATAATAATTGATAATGTTTTCAATGTAAGTTTAAATTTTATAATTATTTTCCAAGTCTAGGATATGTAACTTAACTACTCTTGCCAATGATGAATGATGGAATAAGGCACAATATTCAGAAACAGTTTGGATTCACTGTCCTTGGGTATGATGAGGGAAGACATCCTTCAATTTATAGAATTCCTGATTGTAGAGATACCAGAAATCTGTTTCATCAGCTCTACATTATTTCCACGTAAGTCCCAATTGTCTTTAAATGTCATTAGGAAGTCCTTTACTATAAGGACTATGGGTATAGAAGTCACTGATAGTATTGTGTCAGGAGCAATTGGTTTGAAAGCCCATATACATTATTGTATGGAAATATGTGTGGGAGGAAAGAGTGATAATTGAGAGGAAGTGATGTATAAGGTCAAACTAATATAGTTAAACAAGTGATATGACATTAAGAAAACATGTTGGGCATTGTGAGAAGAAATTTGACTTCCTGGTTTAATCACTTATTTAATATAATCTTAGACCACTTAACTTTCCTTAATTCTCTTTTCTCTAATAGAGGAGAGAAATCTAAATGTGATAATAGGGAGGTAGAATATTCTTTTTCTTTTTTTCTATTTTTGTTTTTATAATAGGGATTCAAATCAGGGGCACTTCACCACTAAACTACATCCCCCAGCCATTTTTTGTTTGTTTGTTTGTTTTAAATTTTAAGACAGGGTCTACCTAAGGTGCTTACGACCTCACTAATTTGCTGAGGTTGTTCTCCAACTCACCATCCTTGTGAACCAGCCTCCTGAGTCACTGGGATTACAGACATGGACCACTGTACCTTGCCTGGAAGAATTTCTTGATGAGAACAAAATGACCTGCAAAGAAAAAAGCAATATAGAATGTGCAGATTATCAGAAATTGTGAATAGATTTCAAAATAATTATATGAGAAAAATTAATTCTAGGATAACAAAAAGGCAAGGAGACATAATTTCTAGTTTTTTCTTGTGGAAGTTGCAACATTCCTGGTCTAACTGGGTTTTTGCCAGTTAAATTACTTCTCAGTATTTATCCAAAAGAATTAAAGTCAGTGCTGGGGATATAGCTCAGTTGGTAGAGTGCTTGCCTCTCATGCACAAGGCACAATCCCCAGCACCATAAAAAATAAATAAAATAAAATCAGCATAGTGTAGTAGTGATACATACATACCCACATTTACAACAGATCAATTCACAATAGCCAAATTATAGAAACAGTTTAGTTGTCCATCAACAGATGAATAGACAAAGAAATTACAGTGTATATACATTATGGAGTTCTATTCAGTCATAAAGAACCAAATTATGTCTTTTTACAAGGAAATGGATAGAACTGGAAAACACCATGTTAAGTGGAATAAGCCAGACTCAGAATGTCAACGGTTGTAATTTTTCTGTCTGCATGTATGTTGTATGTGGAAGCAGACAGAAAAAGGGGAGAAAAGAGGGATCTCATGAAAATACAAAGGAGA